ATACAAGGCTTCATATGGTGCCATCTGAATACTGGCTTGGAAGCTATTATCATAAGCAAACTCAATCAGGGGTAAATGGTCATCCCAGCTTCCTGTAAAGTCAATGACACAGGCCCTCAACATATCTTCCAAGGTTTGGATGGTCCTCTCCGATTGTCCGTCAGTTTGGGGGTGAAAGACAGTGCTAAAGGTGAGTCTCGTCCCCATGGCTGACTGTAGCCTAGCCCAAAATTTAGAAGTAAACCGAGTATCCCTGTCCGATAAAATACTGATCGGAACCCCATGCAACCGCACTATTTCCATAATATAGAACTGGGCCAGTCGATCCAAAGTGTACGTCATGTGAATCGGTAGAAAGTGGGCAGCTTTGATCAGCCGGTCCACAATGACCCAAATGCTATCATGTCCTGAATTTGTTCTAGGCAAGCCAGAGACAAAATCCATAGAGATGTGCTCCCACTTCCACTTTGGCACGGGTAAAGGCTGCCGCAAACCAACGGGCCTTTAATGCTCAGCTTTTACTTGCTGGTATGTTAGGCACTTAGACACAAATAGTGCTTACCTCTTTTTTCATATTATTCTACCAAAAGGTTTTTTTCAAGTCTTGATACATTTTAATACTTCCCGGATATATCGTATAACGAGAGTAATGTGCTTCTTCCAAGATAGCTTTCTTCACACTCTCATCATTCGGGATACAAACTCGACATTTGAATCTTAGCAAATCCTTACTACATATAGAGAATTTGTCTCTCTTTCCCAGCTTCACCTCTTGTACAATCGTTATTAGCTGAGAGTCTTTCTTTTGTACCGATCGAATCTGTTGGATTAATTGGGGTTCTGCCTTAATGTTGGCAATCATACTTACCACACCATTAATGGACGGAGTAGGATGCCAATCCACTATTTCCTCTAACAATCTCATTTCTTGGATCATTAGATTAGCTAAGACTCCCGTAGATTTTCTACTTAGAGCATCGGCCACAACGTTAGCTTCTCCTGAGTGATAATGGATTGTACAATCATAATCTTTTAAGGAATCCATCCATCTTATCTGGCGCAGATGTAAACCTTTTTGAGAGAAGAGGTATTTCATGCTCTAATGATCCGTGTATATTTTGAATTGCTCACCATATAGATAATGCCTCCAAATTTTCAAAGCGAATACTATTGCAGCCAGCTCTAAGTCATGAATTGGATATTTTTTCTCATATTCTTTCAACTATCTGGATGCATATGCCACTACTTTCCCATATTGCATTAATACACAGCCCAAGCCTTTATGTAAAGCATCACTATAAATCACAAATCCCCCATTCCCCTCAGGAATTATTAAAATAGGCGCCGAAGTTAATCGAACTTTTAGTTCTTGAAAACTCACCTCACATTCACTTGTCCACTCAAATTTGACATTTTTTTGTGTCAATCAAGTCAATGGAGTTGCGATTCGAGAAAATTCTTCTACAAATTTTCTGTAATATCCTGTCAATCCCAAAAAGCTTCGAACTTTAGTCACATTACTTGGTTGTTTCTAATTAACACCAACTTCAACCTTTGAAGGATCAACTGATTGACCTTGCTTTGATATGACATGTCCTAAAAATGTCACTTGTTCAAGCCAAAATTCATATTTACTAAGTTTGACATACTATTTCTTTTCTCTTAATATTTGCAATACCATTCTTACATGCTGCCCATGTTCCTTCTGATTCTTGGAATAAAGCTCTGAAAGCTCTCTTGGGGACATTTCACTTTTAATCTTAAGCTGATGGTATCTAGATCTAAGATCAATTTTTTAGAACACTTGTGATCCTTGTAATTGATCAAATAAATCATCAATTCTAGGTAATGGATACTTATTTTTCACTGTCACTTAGTTCAACTGTCTATAATCGATACACAATCTCATGGTCCCATCTTTCTTTTTAACAAACAATACCGGAGCACCCCAAGGTGACACACTGGGCCTGATAAAACCTTTATCTAATAATTTTTTCATTTGTTGTTTAAGTTCTGCAGGTGCCATTCTGTAAGGTGCCTTAGAAATTGGGGCTACTCTTGACAATAATTCAATAGAGAATTCAATTTCCCTGTCAAGCGGTAATTCTGGCAATTCTTCAGAAAAAACGTCGAGAAATTCTCAGATAACCGGAGTGGTATCTAAATTTATTTATTCCTTCCTATCTTCTTTGATATAGGCAAGAAAGCCTTGACACCATTTTCGAAGGAGGCGATTAACTCGAATACAGGAGATTAATATATGATGGGGAGTCTTCTTTGATACCATTGAAGTAAAATACTGGTTGATTCGGAATACTAAAGGTAACCATTTTTTTACAAAAATCAATACTAGCATGGTATGCAAAAAGCCAATCCATGCCTAAGATTACATCAAAATCTTGAATTTCTAGGAGGATTAAATCAACCAACAGTTCCTTTTCTTCTATCTTTATTACACATGATTTGTACACTATATTGATGTCATTTGAATTTCCCATCGGTGTGGCTGCCT